GGGTTCGTGATAACTGCGGAAGAACTCGAAGCATTCTTGGCTTCGCCTTCGCCGTCGGTCGATCTTGGCGATGAACAGAACTGCATCGACGATGCTTTCTTCACCAGAGAGGTTGAAGCCTCCTTGATGTCGGATGACACCGACACAGCCTCGACTACCATCCCGAAGGCCTCGCCGTCAGGCCTTGTCGATCCTCGCTTGATGCCCGATGACACTCGAATTGATTCGACCACGGTCGTAGAGGATTCCACGTCATCGTCGTCGATCGACTTGGTCGCGTGTGAGAAGATGTACTTCACCGACGATCCCTTCTTTTGGAGCCTGGAAGAGGTCCATGCCTTCCTGATGTCCGATGACACCTTCGCTGCATCGACTACGGAACAAATGGCGTGCGTGGACGATGCTCGCTCGACAACCCCGAAAGCGTTGCAAGCCTCGTTGATTTCTGATGGCACCGGCACTGATTCGACCACGGCCGAAGCGGTTTCGTCGTCATCGTCGAACGACTTTGTTGGGTGTGAGCAGACGGAGAACGTAGTTGATGTCGACGACTTCATGCGAGAGATTGATGCCCTCATGAAGTCCGATGACACACCTGTGGATTCGGCAATGATCTCGTGGCTGGAGCAGTAGCTTGGAAAGCTTGTATGGAAAATGTTGTTTGTTCATGTATATCATAATACTGGAAGGAAAAGAAAATTCATGTTCATGCAAATATTGGCGACAATAAAGTTCAATTTTCATCCCATGTATTGTTGTTTCCTTCATACGTTGCTGTTTATATGAAATGGTGTAGCTAATGAACTCATAATTTGAGATATCACTGTCTCGTCCTCATGCATCAACATATCATAGTTGGTCACCGTCCTCAGGGAGAAACAGTCATGGCTGGGTTGACCATATAGACATTTGGATGATTGCTGTCACAAAAAATGCTGGCTTATTTTTGTTGCCTCGATCATACAAAAATAAATATTGACTTCTTCTAACCATCAACCAGTAAATCATTTTTATGAGATCCATGATGTTGTTATTGTGGAGATTTAAAGGATACTGATGAAGCCCTCCTGTAGCTGAACAGTGTATTTGATTGTTCATTGACATCACTTTAAACCATGAATGATCAAAGAAAGAGAGAACAACAGAGCTGCAACTGTATTGAAATAGATTTTGTGCACACCATTTCCTCTCATAATCTTGCATATATTTAGCAACATAAGTTGACAATGACTGTATAATACCAACAAATTGATGTTTCAACAGAATAGAGATCATCATTGAAGATTCAGTTCAAAAAAACTAGTATCTATTCTCTTAATTCACACGCAAACGATAGCCCGATTGCCTTCGTTAATGTTTCGATACAATAGATAGGTTTAGAAGTTTGAGCAAATCTGTACAGCGGATGCTACCATCAATGCCAATCTCCACAACACCAGTTGCACAGGTATGCAGATCCCTTGGAGCATCGCACCATCAGACATCCTCTCCGTGGGCAGCTCCAGCAATCGGGTTTCCTGCATCTAATTTGGCAGCAACAGTTGGTAGTGAAGGTGGTGGTGCTGGTGGTTGCGGCAGCTTTGGCAGGGAGTTTGAGAGTTTGCCGGATCTTCTTGAGCCGGGTTGCAGTCGTGAGGTTCTCCATTTCCCGAATAAACTTGCATAGGTGACGGATGTAGTCTGGATATAACTCTAGGTTGCAATGACCGCCTCCTTTGATCCATAAGGGATCGTACGGTTCTTCCGCTAGTTTCCATAAACCATGTCCATGAAGCCAATTCACTACATCATCTTCGGTACCCTACAATAAGACATCCAACTGTTAAAACAAAACAGAATCTACTGGGAATATTTATAATGATCATTCTGACACACACATTTAACTTGTAAATAAGAGGTATCAGTTCACACTAAATACAATGAATTATTAACAATCTACAACACAAATTGACAACTGGTACATATTGGAACATAAAACAAATCACTAATAATAACATGCTTAAATAGAATCAATGGAGAAGACACAGTTATAAGCTCGATGATTACTAACTAACATTGACCGAGAGATGTATCGTGATATCTTATTGTGTCACCGCAGTTATCTTTGAAAATATCGATCTTGGTTCCAAAATGAATGTCTTAATTATCGCCTTTGAATGGCTACTCCCGTCTATGTAAATCCTAATGATTAGATATCTATGGATATCATCTTATTTCTAAACGAAAATGAGAGGTAGAAGAAGGAAACACAGAAATATGTAGTTTTTGTTCACGCACTGGCATCACCTTCCAAGAAGTGATCATTGACTGATTTTGGCTAATCATTCTGAATGCTTATACCTTCCGCAGCAAGAATTTACTTGAGGAATTGATACTGCAACATTATCATCAGGTAGAGAAACAAGATTTCTGTTACCAGTGGATAAGTATTGAAAGGGATCTTTGTATATGGAGGTGCTCACACCAACCAGTCAAATCCTAAACACATGAACAGAAATCAGTAAATCATATCATCCACATTTGCAGACACAATTGTCATAAATGAATTTAGTCTTTCATTGGTTGGTCTTTTCAAGCATCATTTTCTTGTTGTCAAGACGGGAGTTCCTAAGGATATCTGATTTGTGCAAATCAATCAAGAACACAGTCCATGGTGCAAACATATTGGTTTAGCCCCAAAAACACCACAATCCATAAACATTAACTTCTCTCCAAGATTAACTCTGTAAAGTGACAATCCCACTACTGAGGTAGCCTCCCTGTGTACTATGTGTTCTCTAAAGTCACAACTTAAGTCTCTAAGCAGCAGCACCATACGTTTTGAATAAATAATATTGAAGGAGTTCCAATAAAAAGTTTCTTTCCATCAAAATCTACAGTGTATGTTTTGGTGTGTGCAATGCAGAAGTTAAGTAGCACTTTAAATTCATCAAAGTGCGTGAAGAAATTGACGATATATTCCAAACTAAACACTGAGTACAAAAAATTTTGCATAGCAGCTGACGAGTATCAATAAATTTAAGAAACTAATGGACGGTTCAATGTTTAGTTTATAGAAAACATTTTTTTTTATAACTTCTAGTATAGAAAATAAGGCCAATTTTGAAGTTCAAAAGTTCTTATACAATGGAAAAACATCAACCAAAGTCAATCTACATCAGCATTGTTAAGGATTCAAACGCAACTATTTCACAAAGAAAGCTTTTAAATTCTTCTCAACAGAAAGAATCAAGCCACGGGTTGTTTGCAGGACAAAAGGTGATGAATTTAAGACAAGCACTTACATGAATTACAAAAACTGGGCACTTGACCTTTTTCATTTTGTCAATGTTCTGCATCAGAAGGCAGACCAATTAGTAGCTAAAATCACTGACCAATCTAAGAGTACGAGTAAAAAGATTGTGGTCAAAGCAAGAGGAACACTTTATAAATGACAAAGCAGAACGAGAATTTGACATGGCAAACCACACGAAGACCTGACAGTATAGCACTGTGAAGTACTATGCCTCGCAGCCTCGGCAATTGCCAAACGCAATGTGGGACCGCTAACGACAGATTGGCCATACAAGATCAAATCTTCCTGACCGGTTCCATATTCTGTCTGCAGACACTGGTACACAGTCTCGATATCTGCAAATGTGTTGTATTCGCTTAGCTAAACACCATAAAGAAATGCATGGTAGATTAATTCAACTGCTGTGCAAACCTATAAAGTTAGACAGTGAAAGGAAACACAAGATCACAAAAATTGAAATGAGTCCTTAGGTTGATTAAAACGATTGGATTTGATTACCGGTCTGCTTAGCTCATCTTCCTCTTATTATTTCTAGATTCAAGGGTGAAAAAAGGAATCATACAATGGGAAAAAAAAAAGATCTGCCTCACTTGTACTAAGATGCATACAAATCAAGTTTCTACATTAAGGAAAATATAATTGACAGTTTTGGTTAGCTTGATATGGTATGAACCCGTATACATAGGATTGTCCGAAATATAATTAACGTTTTGGTTAGTTTGATATGGTATAAACCCGTATATATAGGATTGTCCGAGGTGTCTCCGACATAGAAATGATAAACTCCTTATCACTTATATGAAGATTGAGGTTGAGAGAGATTCTCTGATCTAGTCACTTCGATGCTCAAGTTAGTAACTCAAAATATATGAGTACGGACGTAAATAGTCAAAATAAGTCTCCCTTTCTCTGTGTTAAAGCAATCTTTTATACTTTTCATAAAAAAGTTTCCTTTGTGATTGTCTTTCTTGTCATAAACAATAAAAAGGAAACTTGTGATTGTCTTTTCGATCATAAATGATAAGAAGGAAGTTTCATATTATCCTTCCTCATTAGACACCACATGATAGTGATATGTCGGATGATTAGCCGACAATATAGCCCCTATCATTTAGAACTTTTTTCATTAGCAAATAACAAATAAAATTATTTAGAGTGGCAACCTTTATTTTGAGCTGTGCTACTCAGCAGTCAGCTAATACAAGATTTCTGCAGCATATATACACCCTCAATCCCCTCAGATGACATGACATAGATTAGGAAGACTGAAAGATCTAAAAGCTTGTAATTCTCTGTCATACACAGCTGTCAT